ACACACTAATAACTAAATCAGTGCACCTGAGATTTTACAAGCTATATCAATTCCCATGGGGGAAAAAAAAAAAAAAATCAGGATTAATCATGCAGTCAGCAAATAAATCCTATTTCTCACACTTCCAAAAACATCCTCATTTTTTTTTTTTTAAAAAGACTATGCTTAGCCTTTTTCCCCACTACCAAATAACATCAAACTCAAACTAAAAATGTGTCATAAATATAGATACAAAACAATACAAAAGGGTAAGAGTCTCTCTTTATATTTGCTTTGAAATAATTGTTTCAGCATTTCTTTTCAAACTGGTCCAAATTCTGTTGCCATTTGTTCTTTCACTGAGATTCATGCACAATCCTTTACGGACCTTCTGGACTCTAGCCTGATGGCCCTGCTGGACCACATGGTGCTTCCGGATTGGTGCAGGGGGATGGATCGGATGACCTTTGAGATCATTCTTAAGCTTATGATTCTAACAGGAGATATTACTAATTTTAAGAACATTAGATTTTTCATAACCAATTGATAGTTTTACCAAAGATACATATCTATGCAAAGATGCATATCTATGTACTCGAGTACAATTTCCAACATGTCCTTCACCACACACGTTATTTTTGTCCAGATAATCAGCGTTAACTAAATAACCATAGTTTAGCAAATATCAGGGCTCTAAAATGCATCATTAAACAGGTTTTTTTCCTTTTATTTGATTTTAAATGCCCTGAAGCTCCAGTAACTGAGGCTCAAGAAATTAGTTAAATATTGGAAGTCTGTTAGGAAAAAACTGTCTAAACACAAATAATTTACTGGAGAGATGCTACTACTTTGTAGATGGTAGCATAAAACTTTATAGGATTTTTTGTTCTAAAAATTTACCATTAGCAGTACATGGCCAAATTTAAGGTGCTGTATACACATTTCTAGCCATATAAAATTCAGAGATAAGGCTGAAACCTCTGAAGATGAAAAATAACTGATTTGTCACCAAATTCTCTCTTTTTTTCCCTTTAATTGTGAAGGGACTTTGAGGTACAAGTGAATATTATTATTATTATTTTGCTAACAACACAGGTATAAGAAAAATGAAAGTGAATGTGAAATGATTTCTTATCCACTCAGAGATGACAAATACTAGCATCTTCTGTTCAATAAAAAGCCCTCATAAATAAAAATGCAGTAAGTTTTCATTTTTTTCCCCTTCTTTTTATGGCAGGACTAAATAACTATAATAAAGCCTTGCAAATATTTCTACTTCATAAATGGGGGGGGGAGCATGTCTCTGGTGAGAGGCTTTTGTGTACTGACAGAGTTCAACTCCTAAAAGCTGTTAATAGTACATTGGTTTACGGTTATTCTTTGCCATTTAATAACTGCAAATAGCAACTTGTACTCATTCCTTGGAATTGGAGTGGTGCATGTGTTGCTAACAATTTTTTGAAAGGAAAAACCTCTTGACATTATACATAAACAATTTTACAAGGATTATAAACTGCACCTAAACTGCTCTCTTGAGTAGGAAAATATAGGCTTCAACTGAAAAGCCTAAATTTATAAGGAAAACTGACTGAACCAAGCCAAAAAGTATTTGATCAATTTCTGGTACTATAGAGTTCCAAGATTTGAGATACCAATAACCAAAAAAAAAAAAAAAAAAACCAGTTCCAGAAAATAATTAATATAATGAAATACATGAATTTGACTCACTTCCCCTTTAACCTGCAGTAAATTATGGGTTAGGGTTTTTTTAAGTAAATTGTTGATTTAAAAACAGTTACAAGAAAGGAATCCTAGGAATAGAGGCAGCCAGAAAGTTTTGTTTTTCCTATTCATATTTGCTATCTACCTACAACTTTAGCACATAATACTCATCATTGTAGTATCTGAATACCTTCCAAGTAAAATTAAAAACCAAGAGTGAAGTTCCTAATGGACTTTTTTGAGTTCTAACTCTTCCCTTTTAATTGTTTTTGCTTGTTTTTTATGAATTCTATTCAGGATATAGATTTTGATATGCTTTGATCCTTTTTAATTTAATTGTCCTCTCTCCCTTCTGCCCCTTTTTTCTCTCTCTCCTCTTTTTCTTCTCTCATGCTCATTACAACATGCTTAACAAAAAAAGAACACACAACAAAAGTTTTATTTATTGTCACCAGGTTTAGTTTTTTTTAGAAAACCTGGTATTTCTTGTAACAAAAAAAAAAGGAAAAGAAAAAATCCCACCATTTATGATTATTAACTACCATATTAATATGCATTGTATTCTGCCAAGTACCCCCAGTCCTGGTTTTATTTTTCTGGCATGCTGGCACTGCAACAACCTACCAGTTAGATGTTGCAGGTTTCTTGGCACTCTGCCAAAAAACTTTGTCTGCTCCTCTCCTACAGGGAAGGCTCTAGGTTCCACACTACTGTGGAAGTGTATTCCATAGCCAAACCCACCTGACCAGGAATGTTTTTTGTCTCCAATTCTCTGGGCTTTGCGATCTGCATTGTCCCAGAGGTACGCAGCTTATGGTACACAGATAAAATCTCTGTCTTAAAATGTGCCTCAATTGATTCAGCTCGAAAAAAAGTTCTTAAACTGGCATCAGAAGCTACCTAGAAACCAAAGAAACTTTAAACATGGGCATGACATGTTTGTGGCAGCCATGGTGAAGGCAGCCACATTCTGTCTTTTTTTTGTTTACTACCTTTTAAAATAAAGATACAGAATACATAACAACCTATATAAACAAAAACAGAAACAGAAAGGTGATTTGTGGATTCATGGCAACATGGACACTTTCCAACAATCAAGTGCCCACACTTCACTTCCCCACAATTTAGTTCAGTCAAATATTCATTATTTTAAAAACTAAGATTTTTCAACCAACTTGTACCAATTTTTTTTTAAGATTGCAGTTATACCTATGTTTCTGACTATTTTTGCACAGGCAAAGCCACATATGCTTTATCTGGCAAGGGCACCTTCCTGTAGTCTGCAGAGGTTCTTAATGCCGCATGTCGCAGAACACAGTCAAGAATCACAGAGAAAAGGGGCAAGCCTCTGGCTTTGAGGTCCTGACTTTTCTCTATTACTGGCAATCTATAGCACCCCCACCCCAAAAAGCTCTTTCTTTTTGGTCAGCTCCCAGGAAATAAGGTTTTTTGTTTTTTCAAAGTATGTGGAGCAGGGGGTGGTTGGGAAGCAGTCTCTGCAGCCTACTGCCATCTTTCCCTGGAGTGAAATGTGCATCCAGATGTCATACTATTTACAGCAGTTATTTACATCAAAGAGAGCTCAGTCTCTTCAGCACAGTAACTAGAAGAATTTAGTTGAAAAGGTAGCTAGAGTTAGGCAAGACTTCCTAGGAAGTTTGCAATGGTGGATACAAAACAAAGTTATGTTGTTATCTGGGTAAGTACACAGATAAACATTTCTCAAGCAACACCAAGGGAGATGCTAAGATGAATGCTGGACAACCAGCCTGTTAAATGGCTGACTGCTCTTGACCTACTATTATGTTTTTGAAGGAAGTTTAAATAGACTGCAAGATATTTTTAAAAATAATTGCTCATTTGTACCATCTGAAATTTATAAAAGCACTACACCATTTCATGTCAGTCTAACTACACGGAGGCCAGGAGGTTTTTGTTTTGTTTTTGGTTGTGTATCATCTGCTTAGTGTTAATGGTTATAATCAGAATAAGACTACTTGTGGAAAGTTGAGAACTGTGATACAATTTAGCAGCAGGTTTTGGTGTCTGTTCCAGTTGCCATCTACTTGCAAGCCAACATATACCTACAGCAGCTAAGACTCCCTGGTCTTATTGAAATCTATGGTGAAACTCCCATCAATGTCAGAGGAGCAAAATCAACTGTTAAGGTTCATGAGGACCAAGTGGATGAAATTTTCATTATAAAAAACTGATGGTAAATTATATTATTTTACAGTAACGATGCTTAATGATTCGTTCTGCACAGAAGAGAAACAAGTCCTGCATGGTGATCCTAATCCATGTGAGAGAGAAAGATTTTATCCCCTTAAGGAAAGGAAAAAGATGTGGAAGAAGGAAAGAATGAGCAGCTGGAAAAGACAAAGAAAATGGATGGATGCTGAAGGAGGCTTGCTTGTTTTTGTTCATTTGTTTCTATCAAGGTTTCTTCCTTATATTATGTAAGCACAACTCTCACTAATTCATGGAATAATTTTCTACACAATCCAAATCTTTGTTTAACCTGAGAATGCAGACGGCACCAATGCTTTGAAATAGTAGACAGCTGGAAGAGGGTTCAAATTGCAGTGACTAAGAGAGATAATCTAACCCATCACTTTCCAGCCACTTTAGAATCACAGGGTAAGACGAAACTTGAAGGGTCATTTAGTCCACTCCCCATCCCAGAGACACTCATCTGGCCTCTTTTAGAAAATCTCTGATGAAGGATATCCTGCAACTTGCAGAGGCACCTTGTTCTATTATCCCATTGCTCTTACAGGTAGGAAGCTTTTCCTGAGCTTTAAGCCAGAGCAAAACAGATTTAGATTAAACTGGTTGCTTCTTGTCCTGAGGACTGGCAAACAACACTTTTCCATCTTCTTTATAGCAGCCTTTCAAATATTTGGAAACTGCTTCCATGTCTCTCCTTCATCTCCTTCCCTCTTAAGTGAACGTAAACTTACCTGGTATAGCTTGTATTCCAACTCCTTCTCTTTGTTGCTCATTCTGGGTCCACTCCAGTTTCTCTACATCCTTCTTATAATGGTGACACCCACAACTTGATATAACACTTTGGCAGAAGCCTATTCAGCCTCAAGTTAGGGGGTATTATCACCTCCCATGTCATGCATACAGCGCTGTTGTCACTGAAAACCAAGTGTATTTGTATTTGTTTGAAGATGGCACTTGCAGACGAGGGGGTGACCACATGTTTCCTATACTGCATCTGCATTCCTTCCGTGTCATTTAGATTGTTCTAATTACAAGGTTATACAACCTCTCTATAAACCAAAAATATCAATTTGATAATAATCTTTATTAGTTTATTTTAAAAGGTACTTTGTAATCCTGAGCTACTGCTTTTGTACATTTATCATCATACAAAGACATGTCATTTACAGTTTGAAGAATACATTTATTGTGCTCCAAAATCCTCATCTGAATGTCACTTTGTCCTAACAGGAACATAGACAATTTAAAATATTACGTGTATCCCTGGAACATTCACATTATTTTGCTCATCTGACCCCATTATCTAATGACTATTGTGTTCTAAACTGCTCAGGACATTCCTTCTGAATTCAGCAAAAGATGTCTTTAAAACTGTTAAGATGGGCAGTCCAAGAACTGGTCCCTTAATCCTTTGGGAATACATCATTAGAAAAATCAATTTCTGTTTCCGTATTCTCTTGAGAGAACCAACGTTAAATTGACCAACTGTATTTTGATGGAATAGTCCGAGCAACAGTTTACTAGTTTTCATATTATAGTAGTCAGTGTAAAGTTACAGTTTCTCCCTTTGCAGCGACCAGTGCATAATTCTCCCAAAAAAGGAAAAGTCTGCCACGATCAGCTGAAAGTAAGAGGAAACCCACCATCACCTTATCTTCACCTAAATGACATTTAAGTAATATAAAACAAGTCATATGAAATGCTTCCCTTAGACCCTGTGTAAAGGAACTCATACAAATAACCAGAGTTAAGTTCCATAAATCCAATCATGGCTTTTAGGATTTGCCTGTAAAAAACAAAACATTAATAAGTCCCAGGATCCTTGAGAAAAACATTTATCCAAGTTAAATTCCAATACAGGATAAATGGATAATTTCTGTTATTTAACTGGATTACCAAAATATTGCATCTCTCTACCTGAAAATCTGAAAGCATACAGTGTTTACAAATGTTCTCTTTAGCAACAATTTCAGTTCCCAAAAGTACACTTTTATATTTCACTTCCGGAATAAGGTCACTATGATCTTAGGTAAAATGTACAGTAAGCAGTTCAAGCAAAATGCTTATTGCTTAGATTTTAAAGCAAGCCACTTTAGTACAGTTGTAATTAAAATGCAAGTACAAATGTAAAGCTACTGTAGAAACACTTATAAACACCTCTTGCTTTTGAATACTTACTGATCACCTAAAGAATGGTGCAGGCTGATTTTAAAATAATAAAAAGGAACTGTAAAACGATACCGTTTGTTGGAATGAAATTCAACAATACTCAAGACAGGTGTATGGACATGTAAACAAAGCTTTAGTATTCAGAGCTTGGGAATCTAGCAGCAAAACAACCCATTTGCATATAATGTAGTGCAATGAACATTTGTTCTTAAAAGATCCCCAGTCTTAAAACTACTTTTAACAGAATAGAATCCTTACAGGAAAACAGTTGAAAAGTGTCCAACATGTAGAATCCAGAACTAGTAGAGAGACCGTCTCACCTGCTACAATCTACCAATATAAGTCTATGCAAAACTGTGCTCTGGATAACTGACTTTTATGGCTCCCCAGTAACAGGCTCGAATAAGGCAGATTAAGCCTAAGACGTAAGCAATAGCCCAAGAAACATATGTTGCATGAAAACGCATGGCAAAGTCTTGTGTACCAACCTGGAAAAGAAAAAGAGAGCATCAGATACACAACAGTCTGGGTTCTTGGAGGACACTAGTGTTTCTTTAAAGATATTATTTTTTAAGTATAAACCGTCATGAGTTACTTTTTTTTTTTTTTTTAATACTCCCAGAGATACAGCATATTAATTCTTCAGAGTAAATTATACCAATATAAGTGATGTCAAACATGTAAGCTGCTTTTTTTTTTAATCCAGCAAGTTTCTTGTTTTTACTCACTTTAATATAGCAAATCCTCCACTAATTTAAGCATGCAAACAGCTTGTTTTCCCACTACTAAGTTAAGACGGCTAAGACGGAAGTGTACACCCCCATAATGGTCAAAGTAAAAATAAATGCAGTTTACAGAGGCAGTAGATGATTTCATCTGCATACACATGAAAGGTGAAGGCAACATGGCTTACCTAGGAATGATACTGTAAGGGGCATATAAAAAACATTGTAGAAGATGAGGAGCTGCAAGATGCGAAAAAGCACACTGGGATGCAAAAACCTTAACTTATGCCAAAACAGTGTTGTATGTTCAGTGCTCCAGAATGAAACCAGTTTTTACCACTGCCCAATCCTAGGCATAACACTAATTGGGTAGATCAGAGAATTAAGTCTGCTATTTTTAATTTTCCTGGGTGGCCCATTATTTTAGTTAGATTTGGCCAAATCAAAGTATCAAGCTAGCCTTTTATACATCTTTCATTATTTTCTGTACTTCTACCTTGATCAGTTTTATTCATTTCATCTGTAAAAATACTTATAAATTTTGTAATTTTCCTTCCTATTCAAATCCTCCCGTTATTTTTACCTTTCTCTGAACTCATTCTATTCCTGCTACATTCATTTTACAATGGTGTGATCAGAAACTAGCATAGTATTCAATAGCTAGTACCACTGATTTATATAATGGCCATTTTATATATACACTATTAATTTATGTACTTTTATTACTATAGCCCAAGATCTTGTTTGATTCTTTGACCACAACATCATATTGATCAGAAATTTTCTCAGAGATTTTTTCCTGTGTGTTTGCAGATATTAGAGCCCATTAGTTTCTTTAAAGGTGGCTAATTACTCATTACAATGTGCCTCACTACATATTTGCATTAGTCATTGTATGGGTCAATTACATAGCTTCATAGGTCCTTCTTAAAAATTCCTTGCAAAGTTTTTCGTGCAACAGAGGTCAGGTCTATACTACCGCTTTCTGCCAGAATAGCTATATCAGCCAAAGGTCCAAAAAGGTCCAAAGATTCCTAGATTTCTTGCTGGCGTCTCTTGATCCCAGCTGACTTCCTGCCTATGGCGGGGGGGGGGGGCCCCCTGATCTCCTGAGGGCCCTTCTTGCCCCCCATGTCCCTGAAAACTATGCCCCCCCCCCCCCA